CGCGGGAAGGGGGCTGCTCTCCTAGAGGGTGAGTAGGGTCGAGGCCATGGCTTAGAGGGTGCACCTGGGATGTGATCTTGCCCGGGGCGGGGGCAGGTGAAGGGCCCCCAGAAGAACAGGGCCAACCTCTGCATCATGGAGTATACCTCCACTCCCTGGGCAGTCAGTCCTGAGGTCCCCTCCTGGGCACCTGTCCCCGCGTGGAGCACAGCCCATCAGAGCAGCACGTGACATTCAGTCCGTTCTGGGGCACGGACTTGAGATTGGCTGGGCCTTGTCTGCATTGACCCTGATTGACCCTCTGTGTTCTCTCTTTTGGAGCAGACGGTTGATGACGAAGCGATGGCGGTATAAATGAAGATCGGGTGAGGGGAGAAGAACGATGCCCAAGGGCGGGTGTTCTAGAACACCACAGCACGAAGACTTTTCCCTCAGCAACGACATGGTGGAGAAACAAACGGGGAAAAAGGTAACGCCTGAGCTGCCGTCCTCCTTGCTGGCTCCCCAGTGCTGGACACTCGCCTGCTCTGGCTGTCCGTCTGTCCCCGTTCCCTCTGCGGCCATGGTGAGACAGAGACCATCTGCTCTTGCCAAAGAGGACCTTGATCTTAAGGATGTGCTCACGACTCAGGGACCGAAGTTAAGCTTTAAATTTGATGTTTCTGTACACGTAACCGAGACGTGTGTCTCGTAGTGGAGATGATGTCATTTTGGCCTGTTTCTGGCTCTCGGGGCCACAGATGCCTGTCATGGCTTCGTTGAAACCAAGTCTGTCGTTCAGCCATCTTTGCCTTTTCCTGAGCAGAAACTCTGTGGGGTATGTGCTTTGACTTCCAGTTTGGCTCATTCTGCATGTGAATAGGAAAAGGCAGCATAACTCTAAATTCCCCTGTCGTAGAAGAGTGCTGTCAAGTCTGGGCTCCAGGTACCCCTGTCCTGCAGCCTGGGGTGCCACTTGTGAGTGTGGACTTGGAGTCGGAAGGAAGCAGGTGCAGGCCCTGCCGGGTGCTCTGTTTGTGACCGCGAGCACGTCTGCAGCAGGGACACCCGTGGCTGTGCTGTTGCAGGTGAGGTAAGGGCCGTGCTGCCTCGCCCGTGGCGCGGCACTGCCCTCGTCGCCACCTTCGGTCTTGACGTGTCCCTGTCTCCCTTGATGCCCGCATGACAGGCCATCTGCACGGTGGCCTGCGTGACTCTCGTCCCTGGTGCTGGTCTTCTGAGCTGCCTCCCTGCCCCGTCTGTCTCAGCACTTGGGTATGAACGGAGATCCTCTTGTCGGTGCACCTGCCGAGACGTCTCTGGTGGTGCCTGGTTGGGTGGGGTATGTCTTCCACGTGAGGACAGAGTGAGCAGAGCCGTGCGGCCCATTTGGTTTAGGTGCAACGTGGATCGGGTCATGAACATCGGCTTCGGTGCTCGTCAGGGTGGCCGGGCCTCTGAGGCCCTGGCGTCTGGGCATTTGTGGCTGCACATTCTCTCCCCCTTGTCCTGTCCCCCAGCACCCAGTGCAGTAATGGGTGGGAGCCACGGCATGGAGCTGTGGGCAGGCCGAGGCTTGCGCGTGGCCCGAGCTTGCATAGGAGAGGTGTGCGTGCCTGGGAGGCCTGTGGAGGGTCCGGGAGCAGCTCGTGATGGGCGTGCCCGCGAGGAGCTGGAGCCCGTGGGGACAGATGTGCGTGGGGGAGCTTGGTAACTCCCACTCTGGGACACTTTCGCCCCGAGTGGCCAGGTTGTCCTTGGTGGTCATGGTCCCCGGGTCTGCGTGTGGATTGCGTGGTCACAGGACAAGGGAGAGGCCCCGCGCAGCCCTACCCCGGCTGGCTCCTCCACGTGGGTGGGCAGCAGGGGCTCCAGACTGCTGTGTCCACCGGCCCGGTTCTCCGTGTGCACGGCCTGCCCAGAAGGACTCGCCAACCAAGGTGGTGCCAGAAAAGGTGTCCAGAGCTCAGCACCTGTCTTGAAGGGGCGGCTGTGTGGGCCTTGTGCCCTCCCGGCTGCCGTCTAACACAGGGCTTGCTCCAGGCCGGTGCGAGTCGCTTTCTTTTACGGGAGAACGCTCACTGGGCCGTAGGGGCCCGCTGTGGTCCGCAGGGGCAGCCCCTACGCATTTGCCACAGGAGATGTGTGAGTTTGGCTTTGTTATTTTCTGAAGTAAGGTAGCTTTGTACTTTTTTTTGCCCCTGTGCCAGCCAAGATAAACATTTTCTTAGCTCCTGTGGCGATCCCCGTCGTGCTAGCGAGGGAAGCCCAGCAAACTCGAGTGAGCTCCCTGCCGCAGCCCAGCTGCTCAGCAAGCTTCTGAAGCCACGTGTGCCCCGAGAGTCTTGTCAGAGCCGCTGCGCGTCTCAGGGGTGAGTCCCTGACCCTCTCTGGTTATGTGGCACGTGTTTGGTCTCCCTGCACGGCCAGTGAGGTGAGGAGTTGGGACCCAAGGACTGTCAGCGCTTCTGGTGAAATAGAGGTCATGTCTTCTAGTTCACTTTCAAAACCTGGGCTGAATCCCCATCCGGATCAGAATATGCAGCACTGTCACCGTCCTGGGAGGTCCCCAACGTGTGTCACCATGGAGGAGTCTCCCCCCCGGGGGGGCTTGTAAGAGGGACGAACTGGTCACTATCACGTCCGACTTAGAGGGCCTTCCCCGTAGCAGCCCCTCCCTGGCTCGCTGTGCGGTTGCCATGGATGAATGTCCAGCCACTTCCGGTCGCGTTCTGCCACCCAGGAGCACTCGGGCCGCTCCTGCGGGGGCGCGGCAGGTGATGGCGCGAGCGCGTGCACGCTGGTAGACCCGGTTTGGCAGTTTGTCAAGGTGATCGCCTCAGTTCTGCGCCCCAGACGCTGGGGAAGTTGAGGCCGGCCCCTGTCCCTGTCACACAGCTGGTTTGGTTCTCCTCTAGCCACCCGAGGGGGAGTGGGGGGGACCTTGCTGGTTCATCTGTGTCCCTCTCTGTGAGGGTACTCTCCTGTCCCTTCAGTCTGTGATTCACGTGGGGCCAATGTTTGCCACCTAAGGTGGGGGCCCAGTGTTCATTTCCTTCCCTGTGGGTGTTCACATGGTCACCGTCACTTACTGGAAAGCGTCCCTCCCCCGCCTTTGTCCTCTGCTCTTCCTTCTGAATCTTTGGCCCTTGGTCCACGACCCCCTCGAGCGGCTGCTAGAATTTTAGTCTGGTTGTTTGCAGTTCAGTCTGCCAGACTTTGTTGTTCTCCAGAATCGTCTTTGCTAATTTTGACCCTTTGCATTTCCATATACGTTCTGGAATAAGCCGGTTGATTTCCAAAGAAAGCCTGCTGGTATTTTGACAGGATCACTTTGAACGCAAAGATGGGTCCGGAGAGAATTGCCACATGAACAGTTTTTGCATTTTCTGACCCACCAACATGGGTGTTCCTCCATTTTTAGAAGTCTTCATTTTCTTCAGAAATGTGTTCCAATTGTGTGAAGGACTTAAATGTCTTTTGTTAGATTGTCTTGTGTATTTGATGTCTTTTGATAGTAACCTAAGTGATATTTTAACGTTATTTTCCAACTGTTGCTTGTCCATAAAAACCAGCTACTTTCCTGCATCTAGCAGCTCCTAATTCACCTATTAATTTGAATGGCTTGATTTTCACGCATATACTCATGACATCTTAAGACTAATACGTTGTTTTTGCTGAGGGAAAGTGGCGGGGACAGGATTGAGCCAAATCTGATTCCGGAGGAGATTGTGTCTGGATTCGGCGACTGAGCACAGGGGTCCCGTCTGCTCCCGGGAGCCGCTCCGCGAGGCTGTGTGTGCTGGTGCCTTTCTGACACTGGAACTTTCCGTTCGTGGCTGGGCTGGACTTGGTTTATCCATTTGCCCTCTGAGGGGCGGTTGTGAGGTTTCGTTTCTATTGTTTTGAGCAGGAGTGCTGCTCGTGAGCACAGGGCCTCTGTGCCTTGACGTTGTTTGGATTTCCCGCCAGCAACAGCTCTGCCGCGTTCTTGACAGCGTTTGATGCAGCCAGCCTCTCGTTTTATTATTTGTTTTAACTTTTCTTTATTCTGAGAGCTAGAGCAAGCACGAGTGGGGGAGGGGCGGAGGGAGAGGGGGAGAGAGAGTCCCAGCAAGGCCCCGAGCTGTCAGCACAGAGCCCAACATGAGGTTTGAACCCCCGAACCATGAGATCTTGACCTGACCCGAAGCCAGACTCAGCCCCTCCTGTTAGCTGCTCTGGTCGGGGCATTGGTACCTCCTCCTGGTTTTAGTTTGCATTATCCTAATGCAGAACATCTTCCCAAATGTGAGTTAGTTACGTGGATAGTTTCCTTTGCAAAGCGCACATTCAGATTTTTTGCTCATTTAGAAACAGTTGTTACGTTCTGCAGTAGTTGTGGTGATCCTTGCCCCTCCCTCTTAGAGGAGATACCCCCTTGTCGGCCGTCAGGTGTTGGGGACCTTGCGCCTGTGTGCCAAGAGCTCTTGTCGGGATCAGTGTTGAATTTTATCACAGGCCTTTTTGCAACTGTTGGGGCAGTCATATGATTTTCTTTATTTACATTGATTTCTTTTTAAGTTTGTTTATTTTGAGAGCGCATGAGTGAGTGTGCATGCGTGGCAAGCGGGGGGAGGGCCGAGGGACAGAGGGGGAGACAGAGAATAATCCCACGCAGGTCCCTTGGTGTCAGCGTGGAGCCTAACACAGGCTCGATCTCATGACCCTGGGATCATGACCTGAGCCGAAATCAAGAGTCTGATGACCGACTGAGCCACCCAGGCGCCCCACGTTACGCTGATTTTCGAAATTTCTTGCATTCCTGAATGCTTTGTGATTGCTATTATTTATATTATCTCTTTTATATATACCCGTAGGTCAGACTCGCCAGGAGTGTTCTTGGTGGGAAAGTGTTTTCACAGTTCGGGGGTTTTGCTGGTGGGTGGGTGTTCTTCGGTCAGGGCTAGGGGTGGCAGGGTGCAGGTCGTGAGGGGCATGTCTGTGCAGCCCCGTCTCCCAGGACCCCTTCCTCATCCCTGCCCTGGGCCCCTCTCTGCACTCCACGTGCCCTCGAAGCTGGCAGTGTGTTCCAGCAGCGGTGTCCCTGCTCATTTGAGGGTCTCCCGTTGACTGCCGTGGTTGGTAGATGCTAGCTGCTGAAGCCGGAGGGCTGTCAGGAGCGTGGGCCGTAGGGACCGTGGCTGTGCTCAGTCCTGGCAGGTGGCGCCTCCCGGGAGCAGCCCCAAGGACCCCTGCTGCTGTGGGGGTGGCATGGGCGCGTGGCTGTGGCTGGACCACGTTTGCTAACAGCTTCCCCGGGGAAAATTGCAGGGAACCAGCTTCCCAGCGGGGAAGGGAGCCAGCTCTGCATGTCCCGCCCATGTCAGCCCTCTGCGTGCCCCTCGGAGCCTCTCGCTGTACTGTGGACGGGGCCGGGAGGCTGGGGGTGGTGCCGTGCCGCAAGCGCATGGGGCCAGCGTGTTGGCTAGAATTGTGGAGGACCCCACTGAGCTGTCCCCACCCAGGACGGTGTCATCAGCCAGGGTTCTGGGGG